CGCACCCTCACGCGCACTCTCACGCGCATTCTCACACGCTCTCTCTCACGCTCTCTCACACGCACTCTCACACGCACCCTCACGTGCTCTCTAACATGCACTCTCACGAGTCTCCTATGCGTCTCCCACATGCACTCTCACGCGCACTCTCGTGCGCTCTCTCACGCGCACTCTTGTGCGCTCTCTCACGCACTTGCGCACGCGCTCTCTCACGCACTCTCTCACGAGCACTCTCACGCGCTCTCTCACGTTCTCTCACACGCACTCTCACGCGCTCTCTCACGCGCACTCTCACGCGCATTCTCACATGCTCTCTCACACGCTCTCTCACATGCTCTCTCACACGCTCTCTCACATGCTCTCTCACGCTCTCACACGCACCCTCACGCGCTCTCTCACGCGCCCTCTCACGCACACTCTCACACGCACTCTCACACGCACTCTCACACTCACTCTCACGCGCTCCCTCTCGCGCACTCTCACGCGCAATCTCACACGCTCTCTCACGCGCACTCTCACGTGCACCCTCACGTGCTCTCTAACGCGCACCCTCACAAGTCTCTCACGCGTCTCCCACGTGCACTCTCACGCGCCCTCTCACGCACTCTCACGCGCACTCTCACGCGCACTCTCACGCACACACTCACGCGCTCTCTCACGCGCTCTCGCACACGCTCTCTCCTGCGCTCTCTCACACCCACTCTCACACACACTCTCGTGTGCTCTCTCACGCGCTCTCTCACGCGCACACTCATGCGCACACTCACGTGCCCCTTCACGCGCTCTCTCACGCGCACTCTCACGCGCACCCTCACGCGCTCTCTCACGTTCTCTCTAACGAGCTCTCTCACGCGCACCCTCATACGCACTCTCACACGCTCCCTCACACGCATTCTCACACGCTCTCTCACACGATCTTTCACGCTCCCTAACGCGCACTCTCACGCGCACTCTCATGCGCTCTCTCACGCGCTCTCTCATGCACTTGCGCACGCGCTCCCTCACCCGCTCTCTCACGCGCCCCCTCACGCGCTCTCTCATGCGCACTCTCACGTGCTCTCTCACGCGCACTCTCACGTGCTCCCTCACGCGCTCTCTCACGCGCTATCTCACGCGCTCTCTCATGCGCACTCTCACGCGCACACTCATGTGCACTCTCACGCACACACTCACGCGCACTCTTACGCGCACACTCACGCGCTCTCTCACGCGCACACTCACGCACTCTCTCACGCGCTCTCTCCCCACTCTCTCACGCGCACTCACGCGCTCTCTCACGCGCAATCTCACTCGCTCTCTCACGCGCACTCTCACGCGCTCTCTCACGTGCACTCTCCTGCGCGTTCGCTCCCTTGCACACGCTCTCCCTCGCTCTTCGTCTCTCCCCTTCTTCAAATGAAAGTGCAATGCAAGAGGAGACCAATGACACACAAAATTTACGAAGGAGCAAAAATTAAGCCAGGAAATATCAGAGGCGGAAGGGTGGATGAAAGGACCGGGAACGCACCTGATAACAACGGTGCCTCAGAAAACAACCCGCGCTGGCGCACCAACCCGCGCTCGTGCACCAGCCCGCGCTCGCGCACCAACCCGCGCTCGCGCACCCACCCGCGCTCGCGCACCAACCCGCGTTCATGCACCAGCCCGCGCTCGCACACCAACCCGCACTCGCACACCAAGTCTCGCTTGCGCTCGTGCACCTGTCGCCGGAGGCGACGGCGGGGAGGGAAGGAGAGGCGATGGCGAGGAGGAGGGAGAGGCGACGGCGGGGAGGAGGGAGAGGCGGCGGCGGGGAGGAGGGAGAGGCGGCGGCGGGGAGGAGGGAGAGGCGACGGCGGGGAGGAGGGAGAGGCGACGGCGGGGAGGAGGGAGAGGCGACGGCGGGGAGGAGGGAGAGGGGACGGCGGGGAGGAGGGAGAGGCGACGGCGGGGAGGAGGGAGAGGCGATGGCGAGAGGGAGAGGCGACGGCGGGGAGGAGGGATACGCGACGGCGGGGAGGAGGGATACGCAACGGCGGGGAGGAGGGAAAGGCGACGGCGGGGAGGAGGGAGAGGCGACGGAGGGGAGGAGGGAGAGGCGACGGCGAGGAGGAGGGAGAGGCGACGGCGGGTAGGAAGGAGAGGCGACGGCGGGTGGGAGGCGACGGCGGGTGGAAGGGAGAGAGGACGGCGTGGTGGGAAAGAAAGGATGGCGGGGTGGAGGTAGAGATTATGACGAGGTGGGTGGTGGGAGAAAGAGGCAAGAGGTGGGTGGGTTTGTCACGTGAAAACACACGCACAAACACGTGACACTGAGTGGGCTGAAAACAACTCACTGTGAACCACACAAAATAGTGCAATGTTACAATACAAAGTATTATCTTTGAGAAAAGAGATCATTGTTCACTATACAAAACAAAAAACGATCAATGTGTCTAGATCTTAACGTATTAGAAACGTCAATTGTTAAGAATCATAAACATCCACGTTGAAATGAATAGATTGAACCATAAAAAACGCTTGCCATATTCCTTGAACGGTAGACCTAGATTTGACGATTTAAAAAACCGCAATTTGTTTTTGTCAACTAAGAATGTAACATCTACGCAACCCTTCCGACGTTAACGTCGAGTCTTGTTTATACCACGAACTGCTGCATATTTTCCCTAAATGTTTTCGCTTCAAAGGTGCAGCTTCCGAAGCGAACTCTGCTTCGGAGACCTCACCAGGAAGTACTTTGGAGATCGTCCGTTCAAGATGTCTGAACGGACGCACAAATGCACGATCGGTCTGCAGTTCGAGGTTCGGTTCGTTCGGTTCGAGGTGCAAGTGTAGGCACTTCCCCACCAACATTGCTAGATTTCTAGCGTACATGCAACAATCCAGGCCGCGACGACGCCGCAAATGCCGCCGCCAAAGCCAATAGCAATGCAGCCGCGAGCATGGATTGTATTCTCCGCCGCACTTTGGCTTGCTGCCTTCGTCTATCCATGCCATGCGCAACCATTCCAATCTGGAGTCGCGATGATCAACGCTACGCAAGGTACCTCCCTCCTCGTACAATGCGCAAGACATGTCGTACTAGGCCGCGCTGCCTGCCAATGAGGTCGGAGGCAGCCATCACTAGTACAGGAAATACCGCAGCAACCCCCCTGTTTGGCTATAGGTACTAACAGCGAGCAATCACCTCCCTCCTCGTAACCTCGCACTGTGTGGTAGTAGTAGCAACCAGCATGCGGTTTGCCGCCCCTGCCACAATGCGACTCAAATAGCACTGATCTCGTGCGGCACGGCACGAGTGCCACGTGCTCTACTCGCGACGATGCTGTTTCAAGGTGATGATGCTTTGAGGGCGGGGATGGGAGAGACCCATCGTCACAAGAGCCTTTCCTCGTTATCCATAGAAGCAGGCTCAGAAAGCAGGGGGCGTTCGGGCACAGCCTGTAGCAATAGCAAAGCTGATCCCCTGACACGTTTCCGGCACAGGCTGTAGCAGTAGCAAAGCTGATCCTCTGACACATTTCTGGCGCAGGTTGTAGAAGCAGCAAAGCTGATCCCCTGACACATTCTGGAGCAGGCTTTATATATCCATCAGTGTCAACGCAGGCCCGCAGGCTGCATCTGCTCTTCACTTTGTGCCATGAATGAGTCGGTGCAGTGTGGCCTAAGCAATGAGTCGGTGGAGTGCGGCCGTAGTGATGAGTCGGTGCAGCGCGGCCTTAGCGATGAGTCGGTGCAGCGCGGCCGTAGAGATGAGTCGGCGCAGCGCGGCCTGAGCGGTGCAGCGCGGCCGTAGAGATGAGTCAGCGCAGCGCGGCCTGAGCGGTGCAGCGCGGCCGTAGAGATGAGTCGGCGCAGCGCGGCCTGAGCGGTGCAGCGCGGCCGTAGTGATGAGTCGGTGCAGCGCGGCCTTTGCGAGCGATGAATTGGTGGTGCAGTACCGCGCTCACTCAAGCAGCTAGCAAGGGCATGACGGAAATCCAGTGAAGCCAAGGAGGGTCGCAGCACTGGGGTGGCGCGTAGTAAGGGGCTCGAGAGTGGCTTCGTTGGTTCGATTCTAGGGCCTGCACTGCCTTCGCCAATCTGTCTCGCTGGTGACTGAGCGAGCTGGTGATTGAGCCCTGCCTTCTGACTGGCCCAGCTGGTGATTGAGCCTTGCCTTCTGACTAGCCCAGCTGGTGATTGAGCCCTGCCTTCTGACTGGCCCAGCTGGTGATTGAGCCCTGCCTTCTGACTGGCCCAGCTGGTGATTGAGCCCTGCCTTCTGACTGGACCAGCTGGTGATTGAGCCCTGCCTTCTGACTGGCCCAGCTGGTGATTGAGCCCTGCCTTCTGACTGGCCCAGCTGGTGATTGAGCCCTGCCTCCTGACTGGCCCAGTTGGTGATTGAGCCCTGCCTTCTGACTGGCCCAGCTGGTGACTGAGCCCTGCCTTCTGACTGGCCCAGCTGGTGATTGAGCCCTGCCTTCTGACTGGCCTAGCTGGTGATTGAGCCCTGCCTTCTGACTGGCCCAGCTGGTGATTGAGCCCTGCCTTCTGACTGGCCCAGCTGGTGACTGAGCCCTGCCTTCTGACTGGCCCAGCTGGTGATTGAGCCCTGCCTTCTGACTGGCCTAGCTGGTGATTGAGCCCTGCCTTCTGACTGGCCCAGCTGGTGATTGAGCCCTGCCTTCTGACTGGCCTAGCTGGTGATTGAGCCCTGCCTTCTGACTGGCCCAGCTGGTGATTGAGCCTTGCCTTCTGACTGGCCCAGCTGGTGATTGAGCCCTGCCTTCTGACTGGCCCAGCTGGTGACTGAGCCCTGCCTTCTGACTGGCCCAGCTGGTGATTGAGCCCTGCCTTCTGACTGGCCCAGCTGGTGATCGAGCCCTGCCTTCTGACTGGCCCAGCTGGTGATCCAGCATACTTATGCAAAAAGCAACTCCAACAGGAAGTAGACTCAACCACTATTAATAGTGTTTCTTGACATTCACACTCGGCTGTCAAATGGAAACCGTTGCTTGTCAATACCAATGACTATCCTATCCTTCCGCCAAGTTGTCTTCAATAATGCGAAGCTCTGTGTCGAGGCTTAGCACGCTGGCTTTGACCTCCTTCATCTCCTGCACTCGTGAATCCACCTTCACAGCCGCGCTCAGCTCCTCTTTCCCCACCCATTCCTCCCTGATGACCTGCAGCTCGTTGGCGACGTGTGCCATGCTCGGGCGGGCTGCAGTGCGCTCCACGGTGCAGGAGAGAGCGAGCTGAGCCACACACAGCACAGCATCTGTAGGGGCGTCCATGGTGGGATCCTTGAGGCTTCCCATGTCCCCCGAGGACATGCGCTCAAACGCCTGAGGGAGTGGAGCAGGTGGAGGGGTTGGGAGAAATCACAAGCAGAGTGAGGTGAGCAGACGCTACCTGACTACGGAGGTGTGGAACGAATTTCTTCGAGGCCATCGAGAAGACGCTAGCAAAGTTATTGAGTGGAAGCAGAATGGAACTTACCCATGGAGTCACCTGCAGGCCCTGAGAGGACCACTAGCAAAACCGGACGTGCGTAAGGTGTCCCACAACCAAACGCTGGGCAGCGGACGGGGGTGTTCCCTTGTGCTATTAAGATGACACAATCACAGAAAATAAGAACAGGCCGGTTTCATCAGTGATCGGGTGCTCTGCTTACCCATGTAGTGATCTGCTGACCGTCTCCATCAGTCCCTAAGAATGGTGGGCGTCCTGTGAGGATGACCAACATGAGCATTCCAAAGCTGAAAAGAAAATCACAGCACAGAGGCACAGGATGCAGAGGGAGAGGTGGAGACAGAGGCACTTTAGATGAATCTGCCAGCTGAATGCATTGAGCACAGGTTCATGGACTCTAGACACATAGTAAATGAAGCTCACTTTCGTACCGCCTCTGCAAATGCCTCCCAAAGGTTTGCAATGATTCTAAGCGGCTGCAACGCTTTCTAAGCGCCTCCTGCGATGCTTTTTAGGAACCCCTGCAACAATCTAGCGGGACTACTCTCATGCTTTTCTTTTCAAGAGACTGGCAATGCTATGAAGGTATCACTGCAATGCTTTTCAAGGGACAACTGCAATGACTAGGAGGGACTTCTGCAATGCTCTGTAAGGGACTACCACAAAGCTTTCCAATGGACTCCTGCAAGCTTTCCAAGGGTCTCCTGCCTCACCTGTACACATCACTGGCGGTCGTGGCCTTGGACGTGCGGGAGTAGGCCGGATCCACATAGCCCGGTGTGCCCATGATGCGTGTCGTACCCACACTCGTGCCCTCCCCCAGCCTCACCAGCCCAAAGTCTGCAATTTTTGCCTGGTCATTTTTATGAGAGTTGTTGTAGCATGCGAGATAAGGAACAGAGCACGATTTAAATCATATAGGTGTAAGCGTCTACATGACTCGGACACATACTAGCATAGCTTGACCGGAATTATCAAATTTGCGTCCACTATAAGGAAGCAACTCTGACACCAAAAGCTTGCCTGGATGCTATCGGTGATGAGGACATTTGCCTCCACCAAAAGGAAACCAGCCTGATCTATCGCAAGCAAGCTTATGTTGAACACAATGTTGCAAGTGAGAGAATTGATGCATTGAATAATGAGCCAAGAGGCTCTTTAGTACAAACAATGAGCAAGAGAGAGATGAGAGGGAAGCTTACTCTATTGGCCAATAAGTTGGCCAATGGGTGAGCTTGCTTGTGACCCAAGCAACCACAAATGTGTGTTGGTTGGGATTGGTTGAGCTAAGGACCAATCCCAACCAACCACAAAATGTGGTTGGAGGGTACACTAAGCAACCCCCCAATTGATAAAATGTGCTACACTTCTAGCCTATGTATGTTGTATAAAATATGAAATTACAACACAACCCCCCAACATGCATAAGGCTAGAAGGCTAGAATCAAGAGGCGGGAGGAGACTTAGGAGGAGTGAGGCCAAGAAGACGAAGTAGGAAAGAGTGAGCGGCGTGAGGAAGAGCTTTTGTGAAGATGTCGGCAAGGTTGGCCGCCGAGTCAACCTTGTCGAGGCGAAGGTGCCCCGCCTGAACAAGATCGCGAATGAAGAAATGACGGAGCTCAATGTGCTTGGAGCGCCCGTGAAACACAGCATCTTTGGTGAGGTGAATGGTACTAGCATTGTCACACCAAATTGTGGGACAGCGCTGGGGGGCACCAAGTTCCTCAAGAAGGAAGGTGAGCCAGCGGGCCTCTTGCGCAGCCATGGTGGCGGCATACAATTCCGCCTCGCAGGAGGAGAGGGCTGCAGCCGAGGAGCGGGTGGAGCGCCAGCTGATAAGGCCGCTGCCAAGAGAGAAGCCATAGCCCTGGGAGGAGCGACGATCTGGCCGGGAATCAGCCCAGGAGGAGTCACTGTAGCCGCTGAGGAGAGGTGGGGAGGGGCCGCCAAGGGTAAGGACATAGTCCTTGGTGCCACGAAGGTACCGGAGGACACGCTTGGCGGCCTGCCAGTGCTCTTCCGTATGCTTGCCTGCGCCAACAAAACGAGCGAGGACGCTGATGGGGTAGGCAAGGTCAGGGCGAGTGGAGACCATGGCGTACATGAGGGAGCCGATGAGCTCGGGATAAGGATGGGAGGAGGCTGAGGGGGAGGTGGGTTGAGAGAGGTGGTGCCCGACAGAAAGAGGAGTAGGTTGGGCGCCACCGCGGACCATGTCAAACCGCTCCAAGACCTGCTGCAAGTAATGACCCTGGGAGAGAGAAATGGTGCGGGCGGAGCGGTCGCGGGTGATGGTCATGCCCAGGTTATGCTGCAGCTCTCCCAAGTCCTTGCACTTGAGTCGGCTACCCAACTCAGCCTTAACACGTTCCAACTCAGCAAGGTCGGCGGTGAGTAGAATCATGTCATCGACATATACAAGGATGTAGAAGGGGGAGGGGGAGGTGCGGAGGAAGAGGCTGGCGTCGGAGCGGGAGGTGCGAAACCCAAGTTCACCAAGGGTGGCGGCAAGCTTAGCATGCCACTCTCTAGGGGCCTGTCGGAGCCCATACACAGGTCGACGCAACTGCCAGACAGAGTCTGCTGGGAAGGGAAGGTGAAAGCCGGCTGGACGCTCCATGTAGATAAGCTCGCGGAGGACGCCTTGTAGGAAGGCGTTAGAAACGTCCATCGAGTGGATCTCCATATTGAGGCGAGCGGCGAGGTCGAGCACGGCGCGAACAGTAGCAGGCTTGGCAGTAGGGGAGAAGGTATCGAAGAAGTCAAAACCATACCGCTGCGTGAACCCCTTGGCGCAGTAACGAGCCTTATAGACGGGCGGCTCCCCTGGCAGCTGCTTGACGCGAAACACCCACTTTCCTTTCACCACGTTCGTAGGGGCGGGAGGGCGAGGCACATCGACAAAAGAGGAGTTGCCGATAAAGGCCTCCAGCTCCTTGATGATGGCGGCGAGCCATAGCGGAGCGTCAGGGCACGCCATTGCCTCCTCGTACGTGGTAGGAACGAAAATAGAGGGAGCAGAGGAGAAGGCGAAGACAGGTGTGCCGGAGAGATCGAACGTGATGGGTAGAAGCAAGGAGTCATAAAGGTGGAGGTCAAGGAACTCCTCATGGGAGTCCTCAGAGAGGGAGGTGTGGAAGGCGCGGATGACTGCTGGTGCCGCTGCTGGTGCTGCTGGTGGAGGCGTTGCCGGTGCCGGTGCTGGTACTGCTGCTGGTGCCGCTGCTGGTACTGCTGCTGGTGCCGCTGCTGGTGCCGCTGCTGGTGCCGCTGCTGGTCCTGTTACTGGTGCCGATGCCGCTCCCGCTGCTGCTGCCGCTGCTGGTCCTGCTGCTGCTGCGGCTGCTGGCGCTGCTGCTGCTGCTGGAGCCGCTGTTGGAGAGGAGGTGGCTGAGGGGGCTGTTGCATGAGGGGCTTGATGCAGGACAGCCTGGAAGAAGTGACGAAGGAGGGGGGAGAGAGGGGGGAGGGTAGAGGTAGAGAGGGTAACGGGAGGCGGTGCACCAAGGATACCGTCACGTGACCTGGTGTGGGGATACCGGGTGAGTATGGTGCGGGAAGGCGGAGGAGTGGTTAGTGGCGAGGGAGAGGAAGGGGGGGGGGGAGGGGTACTAGGAGAGGAGTGAGCGGGGGAGACAGGGGAAGACAGAGGTTCCGGGTCAAAGATGTCACTGGAAGAGGGAGGGGCACCATGGGACTGGGACGGCGGAGAAGGGGGGGGTGGGAGGATGGGGGGAGGAGGGAGTAGTGGGGGAGGGGTGGTGTCAGACCAGACAAGGGGACGGGTGAGAGGGGGGAGTGGGTCAGTAGATGTGGTAGAGGAGTAGTAGGGAGTGGACTCGTCAAAGACCACATCCCTGCTGCGGATTAGACGACCGGATGGGGGGTGGAGGAAAAGGTAGTCGGGGGAGGAGGGATTATGACCAAGGAAGATGCAAGGAAGGGTACGAGGGGCAAGCTTTCCCATGGAACGGGAGCGGTCAGAGGGGTGAATGAGGACATGTGCCTTAGAGCCCCAGACACGAAGTGAGGAGGCATCAGGCTTGTCCTTCGTCCACAGCTCAGTGGGGGTGATGGAGGGGACAAGTGGGTGAGGGTAAAGGTTAGTAAGGAGGGCGGCATGAAGGAGGGCGTAGCCCCAAAGAGAAGGGGGGCAGGAGGCGTGAACAAGCAGACACCGGGCTGTTTTGGTGATCTCTCGAACACGACTCTCAGCCACGCCGTTCTGTTGTGGGGAGTGAGGGAGGGTGTAAGTCTGAAGGATGCCATGAGACTGACAATAGGAGGAGACTTGGTTGTTAAGAAACTCACCACCTCCATCAGAGTGAAGGCGGCGAACAGGGCGTCCAAAATGGGTGTTTGCCCGCTCGAGCCAGGCGATGATCGCTGCCGGGGCATCCGCCTTCGTTCGAAGGAGAGAGACGGATGAGTACCGACTGTGATCATCAACAAGCACGAGAAGGTAGCGATGGCCCTGGCGAGTGGGAGAGGGATTAGGGCCCCATAGGTCCATGTGAACAAGATCAAGTGGCTGCGCAGCAGCGGAGGGGGAGCTCCGGTGCGGCTGCTGCTTGAGCTTGCTCTGAACGCAGACGGTGCAGGGGGGTGCAGGGGATTTGGGGAGGGGAGGGAGGGAGGAGGGGAGACCGTGGAGGAGACCGGAGGAGACAGAGGAGCGCAGAGTAGCGAAGTTGGGGTGGCCTAGCGTGTGATGGAGGAGGATGGTGGGGTGGGAGAGGGAGCGACAGGAACAGTCAGAGTCAGGAGGGCGGGGGGGGAGGGGTGGGTTAGTGGGAGGAAGGGGAGGGGGGGGGGGGAAGGAGGGGGGGGGAGGCAACTTGGAAGGTGAGGGGGCGGGGAACCCGAAGGGTGTACAGACGGGAGCGAGGACAATAGGGAATACGGGCGAGAAAACGACCTGTGGAGGTTTGGTATAGGTCACAATGGTTAGCACCACCTGGGATGAGAGTGGTGATCATGGCTTGTTGGAGGGACCTTTGGGAGAGGAGGTTAGTACGAAGGGAGGGAATGTGGAGACCGGTGACAGTACCTGAGGGAAAGAGAGGACAGGGAAGGGTGGAGGTGTTGTGACAGGGGATGGAAAAACTGCTATCAGCGCCGAGGAGGGAGGTTGGTGTGGGGAGAGGGCGCAGTGTACCAGCGTCGCGAAGGACAGTGTCAGTGGCTCCACTGTCCAGAACGAAGTCAATGGTGGAAGAAGGTGAGACAGAGTACTGGAACGAAGTTTCATTAGCAGAAGAAGGGTACATGGGAGATGCAACAGATTCAGGTTGACCTAATAAACCAACAAAACCAGAGGAAGGGAAAGCGGTCACACTGCCACCTGCAGACGGCGCCGGGGATGCACCCGAGAGATGGGCTGCAGAGGCAGCACTCCCAGCAGTCCAGGTAGGAAAGTGCTGTTGCTGGGAAACCGGAGGAGGAGGGAGGAGGGGCAGTTGCGGCTGGAGGTCGAGCTGCTGCTGGAGATGCTGGAGCTGCTGCTGGAGCTGAGAGAGGAGAAGCTGCTGCCCATACTGCTGTGACCCCTGCTGCTGATTCCCAAGCAACTGCTGCTGCTGTTGTTGCTGCTGGTGCTGCTGCTGGGGAGGGGCGAGGGCCTGGTGAGCGTGGGTGGAGGAGGGAGGTTCATAGAGGGGAGAGGAACGGACCTCAAGGGGAGTGGGGCGAGGGTTGAGGGCGGACCAGCGAGGAGGGGTGCCGGTGTTGCCACGGGCAAACCACTCATCACTGAGTGCCTTGAAGCACGTCTCAGTGGCATGGGTAGTTTGGCCGCAGCGCTGTCCCTGAGTGGGACCGTAGCGAGGCAGATACTGACAGGGAGGAAAGGCAGCTGCCGTACCACGACCCGCACCACTGCTGCCAGCACCACCGCGACCTACTGATCCCCCTCGTCCACCCCCACGCGCACCACCACGCCCACCCCCACGCCCACCGCCACGGCCACCCCGGCTGCTGCGCGACTGGGCTGCTGCGGCTGTGGAGGAAGAGTGGCGAAGGATCTCAGCTTCGGTGGTGATAATCCACTGAGCGACTTCGGCAGGGGTGTGGTGCTTGGAGATAAGCTGCATGTAAGCAAGCTTGTGAGCGTCGAAGGCAGGTGTGAGGCCCTCGAGGAGGTGGCAGCAGATGACGGTGTCCGGGTACACCACATCGAGTGCTGCAAGGCGCCGAGAAAGGTCTAAGACACGGCGAGTGAAAGCAGCTGCGCCAGAAGTGGAATCCATGGAGAGAGTTCCAAACTCCTGGATAAGGGCGTAAAGAGTGGCAACGTCCTGCCGATCGAAAAGGTCGACCAGCAGTCGCCACAGGTGGGAGGAGGTAGGTGAGAGCTCGCGTTTGAGGGAGGAGGGGATGGTGGCGAGAAGAATGGCAAGCGCACGTCGATCAGCAACCCGCCAGGCAGTAATTTTCGTGGTGTAGTCTGCAAGTTCTGCAGTGTAGGTGTCCAGGTCCTCCTGGTACTTGTTGTAGCGGGCAGCGGCGTCGTCATAGATGCGCCTGTCATCCTCGTAACGCAGTTGCAGGCGCAGGTGCTCTTGGAGATTGGTGCGGTAGGTGCGAATGGCGGTTTCCGAGCTCTACGGGTCGTTCACATTCGGCGCAAAGGCGGGAGGATCACCGGGGGGAGAGGGCTCGGCGCCAGGGTGGGCAAGGGCAGGTCCAGTAGGAGCGGTGGGGGCCGCGGGCTGAAGTCCACCGCCTTCCTGAAAGACAACCGAGCGAAGGTTGTAGCCGCTGACCACAACAGAGGAGAGGAGCACCTCGACGGAATGAGCATAAGAGTGCCAATTAGCAGCGGAGTTGTCAGGCAGCAACTCGAGTGCATCAACAGTGGCAAGGTCGACGGAAGAATCGGACGACGATGCCATAGAGGTGAGGGTGGGTCGAGGCTAGGGCAGGAGGAGGATGGTGTGAGGGTACCGTTGCCAGTGCTGCTGCTGGCCCTGCTGCCCGTGCCGCTGCTGGTTCTGCAGCTGGTGCCGCTGCGGATGCTGCTGCGGGTAGGATGGGAGGAGGAGGAAGGGAGGAGCGGAGGGTGAGGAAGGTGGAGGAGGAGGAGGGCGATGCTATGGGGGATGCAAGGGGGAAGGGTGCTGCTGGTGGTGCCGCTGCAGGTGCTGCTGCTGGTGCTGCTGCAGGTAGGATGGGAGGAGGAGGACGGTGGATGAGGAGGGCGATGCTATGGGGGAGGCAAGGGGGAAGGGTGCTGCTGGTGGTGCCGCTGCTGGTGCTGCTGCTGGCAGGATGGGAGGAGGAAGGGAGGAGCGGAGGGTGGGTTGGGTGGAGGAGAAGGAGGGCGATGCTATGGGGGAGGGGCAGATCTGGGCGCGCGGAGGGCAGATCTGGGCGCGCGGAGGGCAGATCTGGGCGCGCGGAGGGCAGATCTGGGCGCGCGGAGGGCAGATCTGGGCGCGCGGAGGGCTGATCTGGGCGCGCGGAGGGCAGATCTGGGCGCGTGGAGGGCGGATCTGGGCGGGCGGAGTGCAGATCTGGGTGCGGGAGGAGGAGATTTGGTGGCGCGGAATCCAGATCTGGGCGCGGAATGATCAGATCTAGGCGCGGGAGGAGTAGATCTGGTCGCTGGAGGTGCAGATCTGGGCGCTGGAGGTGCAGATCTGGGCGCTGGAGTTGCAGATCTGGGCGCTGGAGGTGCAGATCTGGGCGTTGGAGGTGCAGATCTGGGCGCTGGAGGTGCAGATCTGGGCGCTGGAGGAGGAGATCTGGTGGCGCGGAATCCAGATCTGGGCGCGGAATGATTAGATCTAGGCGCGGGAGGAGTAGATCTGGTCGCTGGAGGTGCAGATCTGGGCGCTGGAGGTGCAGATCTGGGCGCTGGAGTTGCAGATCTGGGCGCTGGAGGTGCAGATCTGGGCGCTGGAGGTGCAGATCTGGGCGCTGGAGTTGCAGATCTGGGCGTTGGAGGTGCAGATCTGGGCGCTGGAGGTGCAGATCTGGGCGCTGGAGGTGCAGATCTGGGCGCTGGAGGTGCAGATCTGGGCGCTGGAGTTGCAGATCTGGGCGTGCCTTGGAGGGCAGCGCCTTAGGGGGCGCACGGGGAGGGAGGACAGCGCCTAAAGGGCGCGTGAAGGGAGGGCAGCTCCGTGGGTGGGGCTAGATCTGAGGAACGGGGAGGAGAGGGTGGCCTAAGGACCGAGGGAGGAAGGCGTGAGCCATTAGCTCATGATACCATGTTGCAAGTGAGAGAATTGATGCATTGAATAATGAGCCAAGAGGCTCTTTAGTACAAACAATGAGCAAGAGAGAGATGAGAGGGAAGCTTACTCTATTGGCCAATAAGTTGGCCAATGGGTGAGCTTGCTTGTGACCCAAGCAACCACAAATGTGTGTTGGTTGGGATTGGTTGAGCTAAGGACCAATCCCAACCAACCACAAAATGTGGTTGGAGGGTACACTAAGCAACCCCCCAATTGATAAAATGTGCTACACTTCTAGCCTATGTATGTTGTATAAAATATGAAATTACAACACACAATGACACTTTATGTTGAAAGAAATGTTTGTGGCAAACCAAATCCAAATGTGTTCAAGTCGCCTTAGGTAAGTGTTAGTTTGGGTTCGCGGCAAACACGTTTGCATTTGCCTTTTGCTCATGTCTACTTTGCTGTACCTTCAGAATTTGGTCACATGATCATAAGCTACTTTATCCAGACTCAAATGCATAGGCAAATAAATGCATAGACCAGTTTCCAACATTTTCCATGGTGTGTGCACCCACCATGGAAATCAGATTGACATCAAAACAATCCACCACAACCAATCTTGCCTGCATGTTCTCGGTGATGAGGACGTTGGCAGGCTTGATGTCGCGATGCACGATGCCAAAGCTGTGGAGGTACTCCAAGCCCCTTGCCATGCCAATTAAAATGTCCAGCCGCTGCTTCAGAGTCAGAGGGCGTTCGGCATCTGCAAGGAGTCAGTGCGAGCAAATGAGAGGAAGGGCATAGGTGGCAGATGATAAGTGCCAGAAGGTAAGTGGCAGAGGAGGAGTGGCGTTCTGCCTCTGCAATGAATAAGTGGCAGACAAGGATTGGCAGAGGTGAGTGGCATCAGATGAGTGGCAGATCAAGAGTGGCCGAGGGCAGGCTACATCTCAAGGATGCATAGTACAGCATGTGTGTGGCACAGCATAAGACTGGCAAGTTGCTTCAGAGTCAAGGTCACGCTAAACGATACAAGTGACACAGCAAATGAGTGGCACAGCGATGGATGGCACAGCATATGATTGGCACAGCATGAGTGGCAGAGCACGAATATCAAGAGTAACATTGGAGAGGCACACGTACTTTGACCGATCCATTTGTTAAGATCGCCATTGGGAACGTATTCATAGATGAGAACTTGCTCTGGCTGTGTCCTCAAGTCTCCTCCGATCGCAAAGCCAAGGAGCTTCACAACGTTGGGATGGTTTTTGTCGGCCATCTGCTGGATCTGATCCACACAGCCAGAAAGAAAGGGCAGACAACAAAGAAAACAGATTGCAAAGGAGAGCTCCGAACACATAGCCGAACAACCTCGACAAATTAAGGAACTGGTTTGCAATTTCATGCCTGCAAAGGCTTGTGAGAAAAGGCTTTGTTTGCGCCACCACGGCTCACTGACCTCCTTCTGAAAGCCCACGTCGATCATCTTGGCGCGCTTCACAGCCCACACGGTGGTGCCATCGCGGGGAGACACGCCCTTGTACACATCGCCAAAGGCACCCGAGCCCAGCTGGTTGCCGGGGGACCAGTCATTAGTGGCCTTGAGGACCTCAGCCAGCGAGAACTCCGTGCAGTGCGAGGTTGCCAGGCTGCTGGTCGGGCCTGCTTGTAGTGTTAGGGAATGGTAAAAGGAGGTGGATGGGTGCAGGGAAGTATGCTTGAACACGATTCGATCAAGTTGCCAAGGCGAGTTGAGTCAGGTCGAGTCGGGTCGGCTTCAGTCAAATCATCATGTGCTGAGTAGAGTCGGGTCAGACCCGTGACTTGCCCCAACTTGTTTCGTGAATTGTGGTTGAGTCCCAGCATAGCGTGTATGTCATTTTATGGGTCATGAAATTGACGACCCAATATGTACTCGTGGGGTTATGCAGAGTGGGCGCTGAGAGACTCTACGAATTCGCAGTTCCAAAACTTGACATCTTAAAACCATTTGTTGCCTCAACACCTTGTCGCACTTAAATCCCTAAATGATGTAGCCCAGCTTTACGTCCCTCAGGGTACATCCAGTTTTTTCAAAAAGTATAGAGCATGTAAGCTTGTAACTGAAGCAAATTCGTGTGGCAAGTCAATCTTGCCCATTCCAAGCCAGGAGATTTAAGTAGCTGATCATGACTAGGCTTGCACACTAGCATGCTCGTGTCGCAGTTCATGCAGTGAAAAACTTACTCTTCACATATTGTTATGATTGCAAACAGCTGCACACAACTGCATCGACAGAGTGCAGCTGTACCTTTTCTGGAGTGTACTTTTGGTTGAATTGTTTCCGTACCTATTGGCTTCGGCTGTAACTTGTGCCTGAAGTAAACCAGAGTGGCGACAAGAAGCAGAAGAATCACCACAGCGGCAACAACAATGCCAATGATGACTCCCACTGACACTCCACCCCCACCGCCTGCTGACGAAGATTCGCTGCTGCTGCTGCTGATGCTGCTACCGCTGCTGCTGCTGCCGCTGCTGCTGCTGCTGCTGCCGCCGCTGCTGATTTCTGCAAATGACATGACCATAGATCCACATGCACAATGGGGATTGCTGCAAGCTGATCACTAGAGTTACCACGTGAGGGGTACGTTTTTAAAGCATGCCTTGCGGCGTGCAATGCCATGCATTCCCATGTGTTGCCATGCATTCCCATGTGTTGCCATGCATTCCCATGTGTTGCCATGCATTCCCATCTGCCATGCGTCGCTTTCTGTACCAAATTTAGATTTCTAGATCAAATTTCCCTGGAACAATAATCTCAACAAATCATGACGTCGTGTCTCGTTGCGTTTCACTCTAAAATCATACCTGGCTGGTGTTTATTTACTCGCCTGCAGATTGGTTGCTGCAAGAATTGCAGAAGGGTTCACATATGCGGCAAAAGGGTGTAGTAGCAGATTGTGTTATGCCACATGTGGAGTTGACAGGTGGGCATGTGAGGTTGGTGCCAGAGATGTTGCTGCAGTGGAAAGGGGAGATAAAAAAGCATTCATTTCAAGCTCAACCTGTATTGGCTAATTAGTCATGAACGTGGGAACGGTATAGGGATGGTGACTAGGAGGGGCATGGAGACATTGCCAGTACCACGGCATTTGATCAGCCTCTCTCACTCTGCCTCCCAGTTCATTTCGGACCCGGTACTTGCTCAAGCCTTTTCAAAAGTTTCAGGTCCGATTCGGGTTCAGTGCTTGCTGAAGCGTACTCACAAGTCACAAGTTTGGTTGGGTCTGGTACTTGCTCAAGCCTACTCACAAGTACTTCAATCTTGTGAGGCCTCCAACCTCAGCTGGAATCTCCCCGCTGAGGTTATTATCAAAGAGGTTTCTGGTCAAATGAATTGGGCGGAAAGTGTGGGAGTAAGCCCTGTTAGCCTCGTGCACGCAGCAATGCAGCAACATGCATCCACCCATCCATTCAAAGGCATGCATCCTCCCATCCACATGAAGGCATGCATCCATCCGTTCAGTTCAGTGCTGCACGCATGAGATGGGGGAGCCTGGCAGTTCCGATGCGTGCATCTATCTCGAGAGAATATAGATGGCAGGTTGGTACAATTGGATGGGAAAACTGCCTGAAAAGAAAATATGCACGGCAGCAACTATAAGGTGCAGTGCACCATTGAAATTGGCACAGAACATCCCAGCATGCTCTGGAATCGCAACTGAGATGACAAGACTGTGGAATGTCACACAGCGATTATGAAAGTGAGTTGATGCGCAAGCGCAGTGCAGTGCAGGCTTGGCACACGAGAGAGCAGTACAAGCTTGGCATATGAGAGCGCCATGCAGCCTTGGGGTGGCACATAAAACAACGATTTTAGCGAGCCTCGTACAGGTAAGTGAGGCCATCAAGGAAGGCGAAGTTGGTGAACATGGGGCCACTTAGGGAATTGGATGAGAGATCCCTGTGCATTGTGTGTTGTGGGTTGTGGGTTGAAGGAAATGTAGGATTGCAAGTAGCAGGCATGGCAGGCAAGTCGGGAAGCACATGCAACCGGCCCAAGGGAGTGTGATGGGTCAAGATCTCTACTGTTGGGAAGCCTTGTTGTGAGCTTAGAGACGAAAGAGCATCATTGGACTGGGAGCAAAGGAAGAATCATAAGTAGATGAAAGTAGGGAGGGTGGAGGGGGGAGGAAAGGGAGGTGGAAAGAGCTGCGGAATAATCGGGCTAAGTGGAGGGAGCATGGTGGCTGAGAGGAGAATAAGTCTGGGAAGGGACATACGGATGGATGGCCGCACAGCACAAAAGGCAAGTGGAAGATGATGAAACAAATGTGGGATGGAGGAAAATTTCCAGTTAAAAAAACTCATTCAAATCTGTAATGTTTTGATTCGGACCCCCCAGGGTTCTGGTTGCAGGCAAGTGGGCATGAATGCTGCTCCAGAGCAAGGGGTGAGTTTTGAGATTGTACAAATGTGGCAACGCAGTGACATTAATGAAGAACAGCTGCTTATTTGGTTCTCCCTGTGCTGTCAACAAGCCAATGGTAGCTGGGATAGCCTGGTACTGGAGTCATGAATCATGATACTTACAAGTTCACCAAATTGATCAAGCGGCTGAGAGTGGATGGAATAGATCCAACCAAGCGATTCCTTTCTATATACCTGGTAGACATGAAAAGTAGCCCATGCAAGACGAAGGAGAGGGAGGAGCTCACGGACAGGAAAAGAGCATGACAACCCTAAGGCTGGCTGGTCATTTGCTTCAGTAAAGTTCCTATCAATGCTTTAACTGAATAGAAGCAATCATCGATCACATCAGAGTTTACAGAGAATGTCACAAGCATCCCTTTGCGAAAATAAACGAACTTTTAACCCTAGACTCTCGTTTGAAATGGGAGAGGGTACATAGAGATGTGATGTGAGGAAAGACGGGGTCTCTAAGCAAAGGAACCGAAAGTTTGAATGTAGGCTAACAACATTAAAATTGGATTTCTGAACTTCCATTTTCCACCCTGCTAAATATACGCGGCAAGTTTTACCAAGCTCGTAGAGTTGAAAAACACTCGCGAGTGCTTAAAATAATTGACCATCCGAACGGTTTGACGAAACATTTTAACTTAGCGACTTTAACTCGAGCCGGCTCAGCCGAGTTTTTTCTGTAAGGAACACCCTCAAACGAAACTCGCCTGAAACGAGTATGAAAACACGAGCCGGATCGGCTCGAATGCCCTTGTCGGCCATGTCACTGAGAATAATCTCTCATGGGTCTCAGAGTTGATGTGACCTTTGATTATGTTTAGGTTTATACAAGGTTCCACGTACAGATTAGCAAGCTGCACGAGCACAGAGATGCCGTTGGGAATGGAGCCGGTCAAGTTGTTGTTTGTAAGAGACCTGTGTGTGAGTGGTTTCGGTTGGTGAATGAAATGAGGAGATGACAATATTGGGCATGGACTGAGGGACAGCACACACACACCATCGATCTAACCAGAGTATGAGACCTGGGATGTACTGTTGCAGTTTTCCGGGTTTATGGGACGTTTGCTCATGTTCGTGCATAAACGAGGTGCCTCATACAGCCAAGTGAGCTGAGAAAGGTCGGAGATCCTGTCAGGAATGGAGCCCTTCAAATTGTTGTTTGAGAGAGACCTGTGTGTGTTTGGTGTGGGTTGGGGTGGAAGAAGTGAGGAGATGAGGATAATGGGTATGAAACGAGGTAGACATGAGCAAATTCTAAAACGCTTGTTCGGTTCCTTACCCTGAACACATCCGTAAAGTATCAACAACGCATCTTGTACAGCCATACCATATACAGACAATTCTTGACTGAATATGAAACGTGCACATACACATTTTGTGATGAGTGTAGATCTGCATATTTATACTTGATCCAAATCCGCCAGTATTCGTCATTCATATCAGGATTCGCATAATATTCAAAAAACACTTTTCGTAGTGGTTTCGGTATTCGCCTTTACAGGCTAAGGTACAGTCCGGTCGACCTGATCCCGGGAAGTCACCCAACCCGGGCTTATAGGGCCAGGCCACCTGTGACATGAGAGCCGGACTAGTCGACCTGATGGTGACTCGCTTCGAGCAGATCCTAAGGCTGATAAAATGCACAGCGGAACATAGAAAGTGCCGATCCATATGCCTGATAAAGAATGACCAACAGCACGAGGTGCTTCATACAGATAAGCGAGCTGAGAAAATGTGAATATGTCGCTGGGAATGGCGCCCGTCAACCTGTTGTTTGAAAGAGACCTGTATGTGCGTGGAGTGAGCGACAGCAAGCACACAAGAACGACCCAATTGGGGGATGGGACGAACATGCTGGGAGACATGTAGGCTGAGCACCTGGTCGGGAAGGTTCAGCCCGGGTCGAACCTGGACCTGGCCGGCTCCGTGGCCCTATTCAACCAGTACAAGGGCGGGACAAGAAATGTGACAAAACTTTTCCAGGCCGACCCGGGCCGAGTCCAGCCCGGGGTATCACCACAAACACGTGAAATTGAGTTCTCTAGTTTTCGTAACCTTAGAATGTCATCCCTATGTACTAAGCTTCAAGCTATCTTACACAAAAAAGGAAAAGGCATAGTTGCTTGCTTCTAGTTTTATAATCCTTAAAAAAGAAAAGGCATAGTTGCTTGCTTCTGAACGCCTCATATCAGAAGTTCTGAAGGGTTGATTGAAACTAATTTGACAATTTGACCATTGACGAACTCTCAGATCTGAAATTGGTTAGTCCACCGGTTGGAGATTCTAAATTTGGTGCGGTGAAGTTTGGTTGGGAGACAGAAATTGGTCGGGACTTTTTTGTTGGCGAATTGTTGGGGTGCGGGGTAGGCAATTTAGCTTCGACGTGCTAAGAATTGCATCAAAATCAGACTTTGAGACCACAAGAAGTCCAATCCCGTAAGCCTAAATAGGCCCTCGCGTCAAGTGACGCGCTCTGAGCGGGCCCAACTGGGCCATTTCGGCCCACGTCGGGCCGCAGCGCATTGCGAGCCGGTTCGGCCCGGTTCTTCACCAGAAACAGGATCATGTTCAACTATAAATGCCAGAAACGGTTCGAGTGGCAAACCCAGTCCGATGAACTTCTGGTTCTCGTCAAACCTGGGCTGGGAGGGGGGGGACCATGAAGGGACATTCAGCCTGGATTGGGTGCCTATGGAATGGCCATATACGTATTGACTACCCAAGACTCCTTGTTTTCTAGCTTGGTTGTGGCATCTCTTGCGAGTTATAGAGTTCGTGTGAACTTTGATGCATGCGTAGTAGCAGCATCAAGCTTGAGCGAAGTGCTTCATACAGATAAGATAGCCGAGAAAGTCCGTATAATTCACCGGGAATGGAGCCCGACAAAGTGTTGTATGAAAGAGACCTGTGTGTGCGTGGTATGGGTTGGGGCGGAATACGCGAGGAGATGAGAAGCGAGGGCATGGACTGAGAGACGGCAAGTACACACAGTCGACCCAATTGCAGGATGAGACGAGCATGGTGGGTGGTAGGATGAGCAAAAGGCAAATTCAAACTAGTTGGACTTGAACTCACTCGAACGTTTGTATCACCTGAACCGAAGGCCTTCAGTTTGGGTTGAACTAATTTTGCAGAAGTAGACAATTCGAGTGTTCGACTAGACGATTCGTCGTAGGTACATTCAATTTCGCACATCCCGTGCTTTCCACTCGAACTCGATTTAGCACAACCCTTGCTTCCCACTCGAATTCAATCTTGCGCAACCCTTCCCTCCTCAACATACATTCCGTGCAACTAACATTTCTTCCTCACGTCACCTTCCCCACCCGATCCCCCACTAGGCTTGAGCAAGCGGTCGAACACCTGTTAGGTTCACCTCAAACATATTCGTGTTGACTGAACATGTGTGATTCGGTTTGTCAAGGGTCGACATTGGCTGCGACGAACACAAATGTGTTCGTCACGGATGTTCCGCAACCAAAGATTGTAGGTCAATGGGACACTTTGATCTTCGTAGTTTTTAGCTTGATCTTAGTCGATTTCCCTTCCTAGAGCCTAGCCTACCACCAGCAGCGTTTTAAATACGTCTATTCTAGTTAAACAAAGCTGCACACACACATACTCCAGACTCAACCTAGGCAAGGAAGGCAGTTTAGGAAAAGGCATAGTCTAGGAAAAGGTCCAGCGGAAACCACAATACTATCATTGCAGGGCCAGCCCACATTCAAGCCATCGTCCCTTACCTCATTTTTCAAATATCTCACAGATCACGGTCTTGGTCCTGCTGATTTTCACGAAATTGCTTAAAACACTAGCTGATACGTGTAAAGGGAGCCTAGCAAGGAAAAGAAGTACGGTCTCAAGTAAACTACGGTCTGTTCTAAACGGTCGTTTTTTACTGTCATGTAAATTATAAGAACGATTGTTTTATATACATAAATGCTAGCCATTTCTTAAATGTTGTCCTTCGTGGCCATACTTGAATGTATTCGTTAGTGAACAATGTCTGATTTCGAACAAAAGCGACCTTTCTCTTTTTTTTTTTTTATGGTCGTAAAACAGACCGTATTTTACGGAAATTGTGTTCTTTACATTGAGCAGACGCAAGTAAAAAGTATCGCGCTTCGGTTCGGGGCAGAGGGTTTCTTGTTCAACTCTAATTACCCAAACCGTTTCGACTTGCACACCCAGTTTGACAGTTTGACGAATTTGTGATTCTCGCCAAATCTGGTTGTGAGGGATAGGGCCAGGAAGAGTTGTGGGATTGCCTGGCGATTGGGTGGCAATATGCGTTCTGATTTCCCGAAAGTCCTTGTTTTCTTTCTTGGCTGTGGCGTCTAAATATCTGACCAACGATACTCCCTCGAGTGTTTTGAGGGTCATGTGACTTCTTATCATGCATGCTTAGTAGCAGCAGACTCGAACAAGGAGCTTCATACAGATAAGTGAGCTGAGAAAGATAGGAAATGGGACTTGCAATGGATCCGGTCAAAGCATTCTTTGAAAGAGACCTGCGTGTGCATGGTATGGGTTGGGGCGGGAATTTGTGAGGAGACGAGATTAGCGGGCATGGACCAAATGATAGAAATTGGGGGATGAGACCAACATTGTGGGAATAGAGATAAGCAAAGGAGCTCAGTCGTAAAATCACACTAAGGAGGGCATCCTGGCCCATACTCTAGCTGATCGGTCCATTCCCACAGTTAGAGGTCCATAGGTTAGCAATAAATGTAAAGCTTAGGGTTAAATTAGGGTAGGTAATGGCTACAAACGAGGTTTAGTTTAGAGGTATTTCTGTTTCCCAGTGAGTTTTACTCATCGAAATTAGAGACCCACAAAAAAAGCATCAAGCCCTAATATTGCTCGTGTAGGGCCATAGTGAACATCAAGCTACCCGCAAGCGTCAAGATTCTCACACGTCTCTGTTCGAGCTCGGGTCAAACTCCTAAGTGTTCGGCCATGCCTCAGAACAGTTTGACCCTATACTTGAACTGTCGAACACTACCTTCACATCCGATTGTTCGACTTCGGTTCGACTTGACCAAGTGCTTGAAACTGTCCTAGTCGAGCGTGTTCAAGTTCGCTTGTTGCTCATGTCTAGGTGGAGGTAGGCATGAGAAACTGAATCAAAGTTCAGTTCGAGGCAAACGGTTCAAGACCCACACCCAGTTTGATGACTTGTGGCTATCGTCAAACCTGAGCTGGGCCAGGGCTGGGGAGGGGGAAGGCCATATAGAGGAGTTGCAGGATATTCAGCCTGGCTTGGCTGGCACACGCAAGGCCATATAAATGTTGATTACCCGAAACTCTTGTTTTCTTGCTTGCATCTGCCATGTAGGTTATGTGATTGAAGAGATAGTCCCTTAAGGGTTTTACACTTCAAAATGCCAATTTCAATCGAATAAAAAGTAAAGATGAAGTGTCTTGATTGTAGATGTATAGCACCGAGCTGAAACGATGTGCATCATACAGATACATGAGCTGAGAAAGCTCGGAGATGCTGTTGGAATTAAAGCCCTTTCAAAATATTGTTTGAAAAAGGAGGGCACGAAAAAGGTCGAGGCTTTAAGAGCGCATGTAGGTCCTTGGTCATGCATGCTTCGTACCAGGCTTAAACAAGGTGCTCCATACAGGTAAGAGAGCTGAGACAGGAAGTAAATGTTGCTGGAAATGGGGCCCGTTAAAGCGTTGTATGAAAGAGACCTGTGTGTCCATGGTATGGGTTGGGCGGAATAAGTGAGATGAGAATTCTCGGCATGGACGGAGGTGTCAGCAAGCACACACAGTCGACCCAATTTGGGGATGAGACGAGGCGAACTTGAACTGCTTTGTCTCTAAGTCACTCGAACATTTGTATTACCCAAACCTATGTGGGCATATACGCTCTGGACAGCGAGCGTCCAGCGTATATGCGCTAGCGTCTGTACGCTGGACGCTAGACGCTTGTCGGACGCTGGACGCTCGGCCAAAAAAAAATCGGGCAGCCCGGGGAAAAAAAATTGACCGTCGAAATTTGAAATCGCGATTTCGGAGCTGGATCTCAACGCCAAAACAGAACCAGATCCATCACAATTTCAGAGGCCACCGCACTTCACCCTTCTTATCTAGCCAACCCAACCCCCCCGTCACGTTCCTAAATAGTCGAGCATCACTTGCAGACTCAATTCCTTCCTCACAATGGCGTTCATTTCTAGCATCTCTCAACTTCTCCAGCAAGCTTCCATGGCGGAACCTAGGGATGAGCAAGGTGTTCGAGGCGAACCGAACAGGTTTTGTTTTTTAGCTCAAATCGTTCGCCAAACAGTGTTCGATGTTCGCCCGAACACGTTCGTGTTCGGGCCGCTGCTGAAATTTGCCCGCGACGAACATGAACAGTGTTCGAGGTTCGCCCGAACACGCCTCCACAGGCGAACAGCGAACACCCGTTTTTTCCTAAACTGTTCGCCGAACCGAACAGTGTTCGGTTCGGCAAAAGAGGGTGTTCGACAAGGGGCGAAGACGAACATGTTCGTGTTCGCCCTTTGCTCATCCCTAGCGGAACCTAGTATCTCGAATGCTGCTGGTGCTCCCAACTCAGTCCCTGCAGGGCTCGTTTAGCGCTGGTCGTGTGTACGAAGATGATGAAGTTAAGCACCCTACGTTTAAACACTATCGCACATTTACGAAGGCGGGCGTGAAGGGAAAGCAAGTGGAGTGCCGGTTCTGCAAGCACACTTTCGCCCACAGCCATAGCCGTTGCGCTAGTCACCTTGCGGAGTGGCCGTGTCAGGGACGGCGCGTGGTGAAGCTCTGCACTGCCATTCCTAAGGAGGTCGCCGACGCAATAAGCAATGCGGCCATCACGAAAACTAACGCGCGGGACGACAAGGCGCGGGCTGAGAATATCGCTGTTGAATCGGTGACTGGGCGGCCTGTAGTGAAGCGGACGCTCACGGACTTCTATGGCGACGATGCTGCTGAGAAGAAGGCCGCGGCTGATGAGTCTGTTTGCCTTTGCGTCGCCGCTCTCCGCATCCGGGAGCGCACCGTGGAGCACCCGCTGTTTCGCCACATGGTGCCAACTGGAGTCAACTGCTGAAACCGGTGGTGGCGTTCTGCACCGACGGTGGGAGCAACTATGCCAAGGCTGGCCGCAAGTTGCTGGAGGAATGGCCGCACATCGAGCATGTGCCGTGCACTACTCACGTCCTCGATTTCATGATGGAAGACTTCGGGGAGCTCACGTGGGCCAAGACGGTGGTGGAGAGGACGGATAAGATGAACACGTTTATCCGCAACCATCACATGACGCGGGCCTTCTTGAGGAACCCGGCAAACCATGGTGGGAAGGGGCTGCAGGCATTGAAACCTGCTGGCACTCGTTTCGGGACACATTACATTTCCATGTCCCGCTTGTGTGAGTTGCGCGCAAACCTGACGACGATGGTCTGTGTCGATGTGTGGGAGGGATGGGCAGTGGGGAAGGTGAAGGAGAGTGCGGATGCGTTCAAAGGGTATGTCCTTGATCCGGCGTGGTGGACAACCGCCGAATTCTTTTGCAAGTTGATGAAGCTGCCTTTTTTGGTGATGAGACAGACGGACTCCGCGAAGAAGGGGATGATGGGCCGTATTTATGATCTTATGCTGCAGTGCAGCTGACCGAGGACATTAACAAGGTCCTGGAAGAGGATGAAAAGCAGTTAAGCCAAAAGGACAAGAAGGATATTGCCCGCATTGTGAAGGAACGATGGGATGGGAGCCTCGCATGCGCGCTCCACGTGGTTGGTCGGATTCTAAGTCCGGCCAACCAAACTGAGGGAATATTCGGGAAGGATGCAGAGTGCACTCGGGTTATGAAGGGCTGGATGGGGCGCGCGGTTGAGTTCTTGGATGCTGCTGGGGAGGAGGGGGCGGATACAATCATAGAGGGTCTGATGGCATATGTGGATGGTGTGGGGAGCTTTGGGATGCCCCTGGCAAAGGCACATCGGGCAAAGGTGAAGGAGGGGAAGATGGACATGGAGATGTGGTGGGCTTGGAACGGAACCGATAACGTGGCTCTCGCGACACTGGCGCGTCGAGTGCTTGCCCAACCTGTTTCCACATCCCCTTGCGAGCGGGGCTGGTCCACCTGGGATTCCGTGCACACGGCGCGGCGCAACAGGCTCGGTTCTGAGAAATGTCGGGACCTGGTCTATGTAGCCCACAACTGGAATGTGGTGCTGAAGTGGAGCAGGGATTCGGTCGCGCGGGCAGGGTAATCGTGTCAGGGAACATCCCTGAAGCCCCGATCCCAGAGGGTTACAACGTACCTGAGGAGGGTGAAGACGAAGAGGAGGGGGAGAATGAGGCGGATAGGAAGGTGTTTGCGGACGAGTATCAGTAGATGGCCGAAAGTGTGTGTGTAGAAATATTTATTTGGATAAATCTGTTTTTTTTTTTTGTTATGACATTCTTTCTGGAAATGTATGGTGTTGTGGCGGGTACCCCCCTTTTCCCCCTCTCCCCCCTCTTTTTTTTCCCCCTGCCCGGAAATTTTTTTTCCCCTGCCCGGCCCAAGCGTCCAGGTCCTGACATCCGAGCGTCCAGCGTATATACGCCAGCGTCTGGACGCTGGCGTATAGAACGCTGGACGCGTCCATGTCCACATAGACCCAAACCAAGCGCGTTCGCACTAATTTTTAACCTAACAACGCCCTTGGTCACATCACCCTTGGTTCGCACAAAGCCCTTGGTCACATCACCTTCCCTTCCCAATCCCCACATATCCTCCTCATTTCTTATTTCCACAATATAGCCCTACACATAAGCTGTCTTTCCCCAAGCTTCTTTACCGTGTCTAGTGACCTAAACCCAATGTTACTCGAAAAGTTAGCAAAAAGTGTGATAGGCGGCGCAGCACAGGTGTGTCGTAGGATCTTGACAAAATGTAGAAATCAACACGTGCTGGTTTTCACGCAAACCCCATTCGGTCCACGTCAAATCAATAAACAGGCGGCAAACGTGTTTGCCAACCCAACAAACAATCCGAATGTGTCCGCCTACGACGGGGTCGGGTTCGCATTTTTGCTCATGCCAATCCCCTCAGTGCGAGTGTCCCTGTAGCCAGGACAGATGTGACGGGCAGAAAGCAGCCTGACCCAGGCTGACCCAGACGGGCTTAACAGGCTAGATCTGGTCCGGGAATGTCCACAACCATCCTGACCAAGGCCGAACCTTGTTCGAACAGTGCTCATCCTTCGATGAGCTAAAATGTTTGATGTGACGCGTACAACCATAAAAAGAGCACGCAAAGCTAGGCATGAGCAATGGGTCGATCCGTCCCAGCCCGTCCCCACCCATGAAAGGCTTAGGCGGGTACGATTTAAGCCTATAGGATCTGGCTGGCTGTGACACGAGGGGGCAGGTCATGCTGACCCGGAGGTGACTCGGTTCGACCAGACCAGATGGCTGGCCATATGCCTATCCGTATGCCTGATGAAAAAATGAAGAACAGCACGAAGGGAGGGGGGATGAGGGGGGGGGGAGCAAGACGATCCTAGTGCAGGCCAATAGCTTCCACGAGTTGATTCCACTGAGTACAAGAAATCATCGCAGGAGGGGTTACAGGGAATATGTATGGGGGGTTATGGCTCGAAGTCCAAGCAGCCCTTCAAACCAGGGTTTAGGGTTAAGGACTTAGGATATGAAGGGACTTCTAACTGATAGTTTGAAACCCATACACACCCCACTCTATGTGTCACCACTCATTGTGTGCTTATCCCCAGCCTTTAACGAGGTGCTTCATACAGGTAAGTGAGCTGAGGAAGCGTGAATACATTGCTGGGAATGGAGCCCGTCAACCTGTTGTTTGAAAGACACCTTTGTGTGCGAGGTTATGGATTGGAATGGAATAAGTGACGACATGAGAATAGAGGGCAACTGTTGTTTGAAAGAGACCTGTGTGTGCGTGGTATGGGTTGGGGAGGAAAAGTAAGTGAGGAGATGGAGTGACATGGAGTGAGCAAAAGCAAGCACACGCAATCGATTTGAATGGGATGTGACACGAGCATGTTGGGAGACACGCATGAGTGAAAACTGAATTGCAGTTCGGTTCGAGGCGAACGGGTTCATGCAAAAAACAAAGTTTGAGTTGTTAACCAGTTCGACTAAGTTCTGGTTTCACCAGGGCTAGAAGGGGGGGAGGGGGGGGGGCAGGAAGAGGAGTGGCCATATGCGTCGTAATCAACCGAAACCCCTTCTTTCTTGTTTGCCATTGATCTTTGACCATACATGCTTAGCACCAGGCTCAAACGAGGAGCTTCATACAGATAAGCGAGATCAGAAAGCGAGTGAATGCCGTTGGGAATGGAACCCATCAAATTGTTGTTTGAAAGGACCCTGTGTGTGCATGGGATGAGTTGGGGAGGAGATGAGATTAATGGGCATGGACCGAATGACATCAAGCGCACAGAGTGGACCTAATTGGAGGATGAGACTAGCATGGTAGGAGGCAGGCATGAGGAAACCGAATTGCAGTTCGGTAGGCAAACGGTTCAAGTCACACACCCAAGAAGTCACACACCCAAGAAGTCACACACCCAAGAAGTCACACACCGTGGTTGGCCTAATCTGGGATGGGGAGGGCCAGGAAGTTGGGCTGTGATATATTCATCCTGACTTGGCTAGCAAGGCAACTGCATGGCCATATACGTTATGATTACCTGAAACTCGTTGCTTTCTTCCGTGCGTGTGGCATCTGGGATATTAGACTAAGGATATTCCCTCGAGGAATTTAAAATGTTTATGTGATCGCCCAGAGTGTTTGTTCATACCAGACTGAAAGGAGGTGCTTCATACAGATATTTGAGCTGAGAAAGCCCGGAGATGCTGTTGGGAATGGACCCAGTCAAACTGTTGTTTGAAAGAACCCTGTGTGTGAAAGGGTTTAGGCGAAAAAGGTGAGGAGATGAGAATATTGGGCATGGACAGACAGAGGGTGCAACAGCACAGCAAGCAACACAAGCAACCCAAGCATAAAAAAAAAAGGTGAGCTCATGATTTTTCTGTGAGGTTCTTACAGAACACTTAGTGCAGCGAGAGAGGAGATGCTGTCAGGAATAATCCCCTTAAGATCCGCCGCCGAGTAAGAGCTACGAGGGGTTTGGGTGCGGGAGGAAATTGAGGAAACCAGACGGAAACACGAGTGACGCCAGCACTGGGAATAAACGGTGCAGATTCCACCAATGCGCGCAGAAATCAATCAACACAAGCCTGCAGGATTGGCAACTTGTGTGGGATCCAATCCATTCTAGACGAAACACGATCACACTCACATCATGATCATATAATCATACTCACACCTAGGGATGAGCAAGGTGGCGAACACGTTCGAGGCGAACCGAACAGGTTTTGTTTTTTAGCTCAAATCGTTCGCCGAACAGTGTTCGATGTTCGCCCGAACACGTTCGTGTTCGGGCCGCTGCTGAAATTTGCCCGCGACGAACACGAACAGTGTTCGAGGTTCGCCCGAACACGCCTCCACAGGCGAACAGCGAACACCTGTTTTTTCCTAAACTGTTCGCCGAACCGAACAGTGTTCGGTTCGGCAAAAGAGGGTGTTCGACAAGGGGCGAAGACGAACATGTTCGTGTTCGCCCTTTGCTCATCCCTACTCACACCATAATCGCACTTACATCATGATCAGATCACGCTTACATCATGATCACACTTACCTCATGATCACACTTACATCATGGTCACAACACAATCACATCATGATCACAATCACATCTTGATCACAGTCACATCTTGATCACACTTACATCTTGATCACAGTTACATCTTGATCACACTTACATCTTGATCACACTTACATCTTGATCACACTTACATCTTGATCACACTTACATCTATCTTGATCACAGTTACATCTATCTTGATCACGCTTACATCTGGGAAATCATGCCTGTATCGTCACAGAAGAGTCCTAGGGCGTAAAAACAGTCAGCACCCACGACCCAGCTTTGGACCGCCTTTCCCCATGCCTTCTGGCAGTCCCTGAGAAACACAGCTGGCAGTTGGGAACAGGAGAGAGGAGAGGAGGGAAGGAGTGAGAGAAGCACAAGGTGATGAGAAGAAACAGCCTACAGGACTGCTTTGTGACATGGATGGATGTATACAGATTGGACCGCCTTTCCCCGTGCCTTCTGGCAGTCCTTGAGAAACACATCTGACAGTTGGGAACAGGAGAGGAGAGAGAGAGAGAGAGAGAGAGAGAGAGAGAGAGAGAGAGAGAGAGAGAGAGAGAGAGAGAGAGAGAGAGAGAGAGAGAGACAGAGGCACATGAGCCCTCGAGTGAGGGAACAGTTAGCACCCACGGCCCAGATTTGGACCGCCTTTCCCCATGCCTTCCGGCAGTCGTGAAAAACACAGCTGACAGTTGGGAACAAGAGGGGAGAGAGAGGGACAGAGGCACAGACGAGGAAAGTTCCAGCTCTAGTACTGAAGACCAGGGAAACCAAAACGGATTACCCGGCTCAAAAGTCCCCGGACCTGCAACACCATCCTGACGCACCAACGCTGCCCGAACCCAATTTGGGAGGGGAGTGCTGGCATCACTCATTCTGGCGTCACTCGTGCCGCGCATAGCAGCCCAGTTAGGTGCTGTGAGTGGGTGTGCCTGCTTCAATCTGATTGTGCAACGACACCGCCAGAAGCACACCCACTCGCTGAGTAGTCATCGTGTGGGGGGGGGGGGGGGGGGGAGGGAGGCAAATTCAAGGCTCTGCTGACCGCTGCCCTGTTGGCCCACCCGCAGCCTTCTCTCTGCTGACTGCTGCCTTGTCGGCTGACCCTCAGCCTGCGCTCTGCTGACAGCTCTGCCGCAATGCCCTTTATTTTGAGGCGCCTCAAAATACGCCCGCCTGCAGCCTTCTCTCTGCTGACTGCTGCCTTGTCGGCCGAACCTCAGCCTGCTATCTGCCCACAGCTGCCGCAATGCCCTTTTATTTCGAGGCGCCTTTGCCGCAGCGGGGTGCAACTTTGCCTACCTGGCAGCGAGGTGCAACTTTGCCTACCTGGCAGCGGGGTGGAACTTTGCCTACCTGGCAGCGGGGTGGAACTTTGCCTACCTGGCAGCGGGGTGCAACTTTGCCTACCTGGCAGCGGGGTGCAACTTTGCCTACCTGGCAGCGGGGTGCAACTTTGCCTACCTGGCAGCGGGGTGCAACTTTGCGTCCACGGCGGAGTGCAGCTTCGCCTACCTGCAACCCTCCTCACGCAGCTCAGATGGTGTCTCTTTGGTCAGTATGCCCTCTCTTTGGTCAGTATGCCCTCTCTTTGGTCAGTATGCCCTCTCTTTGGTCAGCATGCCCTCTCTCTTTGGTCAGAACGCCCTATCTCCTAGAGCAGAGCAGGAAATTGGTTGATGCCGTCCCTTTTACCCACTGATGGGCCACACGCAGTGGTTGACATCCCTGGTTGGCTCGGGAGCAGGGGATTGGCTGATGGCCATCCCACCCACTGATTGGCTCATGGCTGTCCCCTTTACTCACAGTCTGCGGCTCTCTCCTGCCCACTTCGCGTCAGCCCTGGCGTTCCAGCTCGACCTACCCCAGGAAGCACCTGGCTGTACACACCACACCAGCCTGAGTGGAGGGGAGGGGCTGAACTGAAAGCTGGCATTGCAAGTTAAGTTTTGAGGCGCCTCAAAACAAGGGGTGTGTGGCCTGCTGGGAGACTACGATGTACACACCACACCATTGGATGGGAGGGGCTGAAGTGAAAGCTGACACCGCAATCCGCCACCCCGAATCTGGGGTGGTGTGAATCTGTGATGTTATTGTCAGTCACGGACCCAATTTCCCCCCCGGTCGCACAGCGTGGGGCGGACCAATCTCCTGCCAGGTCCCCACGGCATCGCACAGCGTGGGGTGGGCTGTGCGGCTCGCGGCACGGGTGAAGGAACACAAGCACCGCCACCGCTCGGATTGGGTGGGATTCATTCATGGTTCATTCATCGCCATACATGTCCACACCTGCTGTTACTTGTGAGGCGCGTCAAACAGGGTTCATGATTCATTCATCGCCATGCCTGTCCACACCAAGGATAAAGAATATGGTTGTCGTATTATACGGGCCATTTTTTACGGTCAATTTTCAAATCTGCGGTTTTTTTGTTAGAGCTTTTTTCTCCGCAAAAAAGAAGTATCAAACTTAAGACTTGCTACCATCCACTTCTAGGAATGTGAACATCAAAGAAATTGCTAACTATCAGGCCTAAAAAGCTGCTCCCCCCCGAAACTCAGACCATTATAAGCGGTCCCTATCGGTTGCGGCGATTTCGCCCGCCGATCTGCGCATACCGGCGATTTCGCCCGCCGATCTGCGCATATCGGCGATTTCGCCCGTCGATCTGCGCATATCGGCAATTTCGCCCGCAGATCTGCGCAGATCGGCGATTTCACCCATAGCTCTGCACAGATTGGCGATTTCGGTGGTCAATTTGAATTCGCCACGAACTGAGAACCCTAAGTCAGGCACCCCTCCCTCCTCGTCAAAATTGTTGGAACTCACTGTCCCAACCAATTCGTCGCCACATACCACTTGTCACCGCACTGGATCTACAAGACCCAACTAGGGATGAGCAAAGTCCCGAACGCCTGTTCGGTTCGCCTCGAACATGTTCGAGGCGAACTGAACACGCAATTTTTTTTGCCAAAATTGTTCGGGCCGAACATGTTCGGTGTTCGGCCGAACATGTTCGACGTTCGCCCCAGAATTTCGGGTCTCCAAGCCGAACACGAACATGTTCGTGTTCGACTTGGGGGCCACGCGAACACCAAAAAGGTTCGCATCAAAATTGGCCGCGACCAGATTTAGGTCGCAGCCAATTTGTGTTTGAGCTCATTTCGTGAGCTTAAACTCAGAACTCGTTTTCGCCTTAGCTCTCCATCACACAGCCGCCCTAGCCTCCTTGTTCTAGGTGCAAGCAAGTGCACGCTGATACTTGCAATGTACACGGACATTAGATCTATGCATAGGGTTTAACGTAGTGTAGGGTGTTTAGGGTTACTATTAAAGTTCAGCCAGCATCTCCACAAAGGGCTCAAGTAGGGCGTATCCTACGCCGTAGGATTCGGATCGCGCATTTCAGAGACCTAACCGTGCGGGATAACGTTTAGGAACGTGCGGCACCATCCAACGCTACCGTTGCAGGAAGGGTGTTTTAGGGTTTAGGGTCGAGGGCGGAGTTATGGCTTCCAGGGCTGGTGGATCCATAGGCCGAGGTGCAGGCAGGGCTCAGGGCAGCGCACCGGGATCTCCACCACGACCTATGCAGGGGCGAGTAGGGGATGGACCGGGAGGAGCCGGCGCGATCTTCGTTGGGGGGTTGCTTACCGTACCGGCGCCGACCTCTCGTCGCTCTTTCCGTTACGACGGCCCTCGACCCCCTTGTCGCATGACTCTTGAGAATGAGTTCACAAAGGTTCATGAGACAGCTCCTAAGGTGAGTACGGTTAGATAAGTTGTCAGGGAAGTAGTATAGTTTGTATTGTAGTGAAGTGTACTGTAGAATGTACGGGTAGGAGGGTTGTGGCGATATCGGAATTACGGCAGGAACAGGAGAATCGAGGGTGGGGCCACTCGAAAGGAGGTCAGGACGGGACAATGGTTGACCTGGCAAGGGCCACCGGTGAACTGGAAGGGGGACAGGGGTGACAAGGCTTGGCCGAGCCGCATGCAGGAAAAATGCCCCAAGGGTTGGGCGGTGCGAGGGGTAGTTGGCAGACCCCGAGGGTCAAATCCACGAGGGGTGACAGGGAGCCAAAACCAGCTCGGCAAGGACACCAACTCACTTTTGTTTGTCTTCTCGTAATTGTGGGAAAGCTTGTGATTCAGTTGTGATCTGTTGTCAAGCTGAGCAACTGCTAAATCCACGCCGGAGAAGCCAAACTAGTGCGGCCAGTTGTGCCTAGGAAAAGAAACTAGCTACTCGCGTCGAGAGTTTCTTTTACAAACAAAAGTCATGGCGGGCATGTCACTACGTAGTGGTGCCAAGCTGTCCGGAATGGGAGAACCACCGGAGAAGGAAGGAGTTCCATCGGGGAACGAAGTGGAAGAAAGCCCGGGGGAGAGATCCGATCCCGAGCGAGTAACTGCCCGGAATGACGCCGAGGACAAGGGCCGGCAGGAAGAACAACGCGGAGGTGGTACGACCCCCCGCGGTTCGGGACGATCTGCGATGCGCGCCGAGAGAACCCAGGGAGAGCGGTCGCCGTCAGAAGAACAGGCGACGGTGGCGGGGAGGGGCATCGCTGCGCCAATTGCTGGATCAGAAGGAGGAAGGGGAGGGCAGGTGACGCCATCCGGAAGCGGGAATTCAAGACGCTCGCTGTGGGAGGAGGGGTCACGTTACCGATACACCAGCCTCCCTAAGGTGGAGGTTCCGAGTCGCTTCAGTGGAGATCAAGAGTCGGGACCGAGAGTGAAGACCTACGCGATGCACTTGCGGAACGAGAGATACGGATGGGAGATGGACAGCCTGGATTTACGGCACTTCTTCAGATCTTTGGGGAACACGCTGGCGGGGGAGGCGAAAGCGTTTTACCTGGAGATTAGGGACCCGCTGCTGCAGGAGGAAGAGCGAGACGAGGAGGGCCGACTGCTACGGGACGAAGAAGGGAAGCCCATCCGCTTACGGGATCCGACGGAGCGCTTCCTGCAAGAATTGGCGGCGCACTTCCCCACGCAAACGCCGGCCAGGATGAGGGAGTTCGACCAGTTGAGACGAGGTTCACGAGAGTCTCTCCTGGGCTATTACCGGCGAGTGCATCAACTGGCGGAGGACATCGGCTGCAGCGAACCGCGTATTATAGTAGCCAAATTTTTGGACGGCCTGGCCGGAGAGCTAGAGCGGACCGTGAGGGATCGGACATACGACCTGGGTCCCAACGCCACGCTGCGACAGGCGTATGAAATCGCATGGCGTCACGAGCAGTCCCTGAGCCTCTATGACCTGGGGAGGAAGACTGATAAGCTGCCCAGGGAGAGAGAGCGCAGGGGAGTCGG